ACTCCATGGCCCAAAAACGTGGTTTTGAAGCACGGATCCTCATGGATCCTAACGCTTTTTTCATTTGGCCAACCAAAACTCAACAGCAAATCACATATCATAGCCAGGGGCACAGACTACACAACAAAAAACTCGGATCCACGGTTATCTTGCAACGCCATGGCCCAAAAACGTGGTTTCGAAGCACGGATCCTCATGGATCCTGACGCTTTTTGCATTGGGCCAACCCAAACTCACTGTCAAATCACATATCATGTCCAGGGGCACAGCATCCACCACAAAAATCACATATCCACGGCTTCCTGGCCATACCGTGGCCCAAAATGTGGTTCCGAACCACGGATCCTCATGGATCCTAACGCTTTTTGCATTGGGCCACACCAAATTCACTGTCAAATCACACATCATGTCCAGGGGCACAGCCTGCACCACAGAAAACTCAGATCCACGGTTATCTGGCCACGGCATGGCCCAAAAACGTGGTTTTGAAGCACAGATCCTAATGGATCCTCACGCTTTTCGCATTGGGCCAACCCAAACTCACCGTCAGATCACACGTCGTAGTCAGGGGCACAGCCTGCACCACAAAAATCACGGATCCACAGATCCTGGTCATACCGTGGCCCAAAAACGTGGTTTTGAAGCATGGATCCTCATGGATCCTCATGCTTTTTGCACTAGATCAGCCCGAACTCACCGACAAATCCCACATCATGGCCAGGGGCACAGCCTGCACCACAAAAATCACGGATCCATGGCTTCCTGGCAACACCGTAGCCCAAAAACGTGGTTTTGAAGCACGGATCCTCGTGGATCCTCACACTTTTTGCATTGGGCCAGCCCAAACTCACTGTCAAATCACACATCATGTCCAGGGATACAACTTGCACCACAAAAAAACTAGGATCCACAGCTTTCTGGTCATTACACGGCCCAAAAACGTGGTTTTGAAGCACGGATCCTCATGGATCCTCACACTTTTCGCATTGGGCCAACCCAAATGCACCGTTAAATCACACATCATGTCCAGGGGCACAGCCTGCACCACAAAAATCACGGATCCATGGCTTCCTGGCCACTCCGTGGCCCCACAACATGGTTCCGAACCACGGATCCTCATGGATCATCACACTTTCGCATTGGGCCAGCCCAAACTCACCGTCAAATCACACATCATGGCTAGGGGCACAGCCTGCACCACAAAAAACTGAGATCCATGGCTTCCTGGCCACTCCATGGCCCCAAAACATGGTTTTGAAGCACGGATCCTCATGGATCATCACACATTTTGCATTGGGGAACCCCAAATTCACCCTTTATTCAAATATCTTGTACATAACCACAGATATGACCACAAACATCATGGATCTACTGCTTCATGGCCCTGGCCAGATGCTACCCTGGATATATTGGCCAATTTTTAGGTGGGTGTGCTGGGATGGAGGAAATGGAGTCGGCTGAATCTCTATCCATTAAAGATGGGCGCCCAATGGCTGGGCCAGAATGATTTCAGTTCGGTTTGCCAGCTCCCAGCTCTTCATGGGGCGCAATAGTCACCTGTAGCTGCCATCAGGAGTCCCTTTGTGATCCTGGATGCTTCTGTCTCTATGGAGGCATTGGTCACAAATGTAGCCAAACTGGCATTTTTGAATCTATGTCAGCTTAGGCAATCGGTACTGTACCTGTCCCTTTCCAACCTAGCCATGGTGATCCATGCAGTAGTCACCAGCAGACTAGACTACTTTAACTTGCTGTACACCTGAGCCGGGGAGTGCAGGGTATAAATGTGATCGAGAGTGAGAGAGAGAGAGAGAGAGAGAGAGAGAGAGAGATATGCAGGGCTACCCTTGAGACTGCTCCAGAAACTCCAAATGGTCTAAAATGCAGATGCATGAGTTCTTACTTGGACTTTGTGGAGAGCCCACATTCAGTTGGTTGTTCATCAGCTGGATTGGCTCCAGGTGGAGTATTGAATCAGGTTCAATGTTTTGGTGCTAATCTTTAAAGCCCTAAACAGGCTGTGACCTTTCTTATCTGTGGGAATTATCTTCCAATACACCCCCCATGAGTGTGACGCTCATCTAACAGCAACCTACTGGTGGTCCCTGGCCTAAAACCTATCCAGCTGTCCTCAACCAGAGCCAGAGCCTTTTTGTTGGAACGCTTTGTCTAATGAGACCAGGGCTCAGTGCAATCTATCTCAGTTCTCTCACATGTCATGGTGAGTAGGCTTGCACATTCATATGACCCTTGTGAGCAAAGCCGTTGGGAATCTCGTACTCCCAGCAGGGTCACCCAAGGCGGTAAGGTCAAAGAAAATTAAATATGCTCAGAGTCCTGTAGTGATTTCATGCTCTTTATTGCAGCTTGTAAAACAGTGACTGAATTTCCCCCCCAAACCTCAGGCTTTTATATACATTATTTACACAATGAGTCCCGTCTGACTGGCTGATTCTGCTTCCCTCCTGGAGCCTGATTGGTCTTTTCCTGCAAGCCAATCAGTTCTTGCATTCTAGGATCCTACTTGTCTATTGTTCTAGGATCCAAGCTTAGTACATAACAGGGAAGGAGCTAGACAAAGAATGATGCAAGAAGTCCTCAACGGCAGAACAGGCGGGTGATAACAAGCAGTGTGTTACAACGCCTGTGAAGGCAGGTGAAGGCTGCAGCAGATAGGATCCACCAGTTTGTCGTGAATACTCATGCCATCAGAACAGAGCCCTACTGCGAAGACTGTGCGTTGGTCAGTGTGCACTGATCTACACACATAAAACAAATTCACGCACAGGCGTCTTCCAAAAACCCAACCCAACCCACCCAACCCCTCCCCCCATGGCGATCACTAAATGGCTACGGGGGCAGGAATGTGAAGCCCCTAGTCATGAACCGACACATGGGCGGTCAGTCGTTCTGACTCAAGGAATGAGGCAGTTGAGCAGCTCAGCAGCTGTATCCATGACTGAGCAGCCCTTTTAGGATCCACTATGCTCACCCGAAAGGGGAAGGGGCTGGAAACGGTGCCCTAAACATAGTATGCCTCCCTTTTCCCCTGACTGGATTACCGCGCCCAGGTGGAATCTCTTTTCCCATAGTTTGAATCCATTATTCTGCATCCTAGTCTCTAGAACAGCAGAAAACAAGCTTGCTCCCTCTTCAACATGACATCCCTTCAAATATTTAAACATGGCTATCATGTCACTCCTTAATCTTCTCTTCTCTAGATTAAACAAATCCAGCTCCCTAAGTCTCTCCTCATAGGGCTTGGATTCCAGACCTTTTACATTTTGGTCACCCTCCTCTGGACATGCTCCAGCTTGACAATATCCTTCTTCAACTGTGGTGCCCAGAACTGGACACAATATTTCAGGTGTGGTCTGGCCAACCAGAATAGTGTGGTAGCATTCCTTCGCTTGATCTAGACACTATACTCCTATTGATGCAGCCCAGAATTGCATTGGCGTTCTTAGCTGCCACATCACACTGTTGACTCATATTCAGCTTGTGGTCGACTAAGACTCCCAGATCCCTTTCACAGGTACTGTTGTCAAGCCAAGTGTCCCCCACCTGTGCATTTCATTTTTCTATCCAGGTGTAGTACCTTACATTTCTCCTAATTGAACTCCATATTGTTGGTTTTGGCCCAGCTCTCTAGGCTGTTCAGGTCATTTTGAATTCTGACCCTGCCCTCCGGTGTATTAGCAACCCCTCCCAGTTTGCAGTCATTTGCAAATTTGATTAGCACACCCTCTATTCCATCATCCAAATCATTTATAAAAATATTGAATAGCACCAGGCCCAGGACAGAACCTTGTGGAACCCCAATAGTCATTTTTTTCCAGGATGAAGGTGAGCCACTGATGAGCACTCTTTGGGTTCAGCCCGTCAACCAATTACAAATCCACCTAACAGTAGCTTTGTCTAGCCCACATTTTACTAGTTTTTTTGCAATAATATCATGGGGGACCTTTTCAAAGGCCTAACTGAAGTCAAGGTAAGCTGGTACAAGGGAAAGCAGGATTGTAATTACCGTAAAAATTACTGATCACTTTGGATCAGCAGTCTCAACCTAACCCGCTATGTGGGGAGAGCCACGTATTCCTTTGGAAGGCAAGTGGAATACAGTGTGATATACTGACAGCTGTTTTAAAAGATGTAACTGTAACTTAAAATCCAGTATCAGAAAAAAATAAAAATAGATGGTCCCTGTGTGGATAGTCATGTTTGCATGATGGGGCCACCTCCAGTGACTGTTAGGATAAGATTTATTGCTTTACTCTTGGTGTCCGGCACACTTCCCTGTGGCTCTGCAGGTCGTAAAGCAATTAGCAGAATTGCACAGCATCCGTGTCGAAAGGGCAGTAAAGGACGTCCCACACGTTTCTTCTTTTCTAGTAGCACTTTATTTGCTCAAAAATAGCATATTTACACTCCATCTGATTCAAGTTGCATTTTGCGACCTGTCTCTCTCAGCTGCAGCTGCGTAGCAAAGCTGCTTTCACTTTTCACTCAGCTCACAGCATTCCAAGCTGCTTTCGTCACGTCCTGGCTTACTTCCCTTGTAAGCGCCTCCTCTCAGCCTCGAGACACAGAAGGTTAACCCTTCACTACACCCAACACCCCCTCTTGTCTCGC